CAAATTTAAAGCTCAAAAGTAAGAAAAAATTCCAATTATAATTGATACAAATTAAAATATAAACAGTGAACACGAACGCCAATGTTGCCAAATGATGAACTAATTTTAAAATAAAATTGATAAATGAACTGAAATAATATATAGGTATATATAATAAATCAGTTTTATAAAAACTCCTTAAATAAATATAGAGTATTATTACATATTGCTAGACAGCTAGGCACAAATTTTGCTACTTAAAAAAGGGCTAAAAATCCAACGACGTAGCGAAATTCCGCTACTTGTGGCAACACTGAACAGCGTCCTACTTATAGACACCTTTCACAAATTTCCTCCAGAGGGCGTATCACTTAGCTTGAATCGCGAATACTTTGCATTTACACATGAATTTCCGGCTGTACAAAAATATGTGTTTTAATAAAGTTATTCGTAATTGATCTATATTTACTTTGTTCTTTGTCCTTTACAGCTTCATTGAACTCTAAAGGTAACATTGGGGAAGGCGAGACCGAGTAAGAAGACAAGCGACAGGCAGCAAATAGTGCCGTTTTAAAAGTTCTGCATTATCTAAAACCTAGAATACAGTCATCAAATATCAAATTTTTTTTTAGTGGTATACGAGGTTTGTCAAAAAATATGAGTTTTACTCAAGAGTACCTTTATTCGACTGATAAAATTTCTCGACTTTTTATAAAGAACAACTTTTTATTCCTAAAATTAGTAATAAAAAAATCTTTCCTATGCCTCCAACTGTCTACGTAAATTGGCGGCATATGAAAATCGTTTTTATTATTGATATTGGGAAAAAAGTAATTCTTTATAAAAAGTCAACCATGGTCTAAAACCTAAAATACAACCATCAGATATCAAATTTTATCACACGTATAAAGAATAACGGTACTTTACTCTTGAGTAAAGCTCATATTTTTTGAGAAATCTCATATACCACTGAAAAAATTTGATATTTGATGACTGTATTCTAGGTTTTAGATAATGCAGAACTTTTTATGAAGAAAAACTTTTTTCCTAAAATTAATAATAAAAAAGTTTTCCATATGATTCCAACTTAGGGGGACATACTGTATAAAAATGTACGCTGCCGACCATTTTCCACAATTTTCGAAGATAACGCAAACTATATTTTGTACAAATATATTTTAAATTTCCCGCGATTCTCGCTAAATAACGTATAGCGCCATCTGCTTTCTAAATGTATAGTTATTTCGTCTTCTATGTATTGTCGTTATTCGTATAGAAAACATAATATAAAACCGGAAAATAAATACATTTTTTTTCAATGCGTGTGAAATTGTACTGGCCTTTAACATATTTAAATTTAATGCGACAGCTACACAATAAAAAAAAATAATCGAACATTAAGCTGTATTTCTTAACATTTAGCTTGGCTTCTGTAGCAGCAATTAGGGCTAACAATCGATCATTGTTATCTCGTTATTTCTAGAAATATTCTTTTGAAAATGCTAAACGGATGGCAAAGGCGTTTTTTAAACAAGTTCAATTATATACATAATATATGTGTTCTTGAATAAACAGTTTTTTCCACAAACATTTTTACCACAGCATAAACTTTTTGCCAAATGCACATAAACAATATAATTATTACAGGGTATATAATTTGATAACGAATCTTAAAATAACTTGAGATTATTTGTCCTAAAATATGTTTTTTTATACTTTTAGTTGATTTATAATCGATAATCATACACACTACTTGTATTTGATTAATAGTTGATAAGCATGATTGGTACATTATTGCTGAAAGGATCGACTAGGCAAGCTTGTCATGATTTGTCATTGCTTTTGTATTGCAACTGTACTGTCATATTTTATTAACTCATGATATCTTTTTGAATACAACTTTTGTATCGGCACTATGGATAATTACATAAATTAATGATCTCAGTATATTGTCAAATGACGTTTCATGCATTAGCGTATGTAAGTATCGTTATACTGCGTTATTGGTCCATCTGCCGACGTAGTACAAACGCATGTTTGTATAAAACAATGTATACATTTAAAGCGAACGGACCTTCATTTTGGAACGTACGTTTTAAATACCAAAGGCAGATATATAGCGAACGGGCGTTCTTGACGATCGTCCGTTCGTGCATAAAACGACATATTTATTTCAATAGAACTAGGAAAGTCCGTTTTCAAACTGACGTTCACAAACGCAGTGCATAAAACCAGCCTAATGTGTTGCAAATTTGAGAAGAATTACAAATCGGTATTGGAGGATAATGCGAAAATAAAATTTCTACTTCATGAATATGTACTATGTTCTGTATATTAACGACTTAGAGGAACGTTTTCTTAACTGTTAAATAAGTTCTGTGTAGAAAACTAAAGATATTTAATTGATTTTTTTTACGTATATTGATACGTATATTGATTATGTCATATAGAAAGGAACGATCACCTTCATGGGTTTTTATCCCATGAATCGTTTAAATGGTCATTAAAAACGAAAAAACCACGGAGTGCTATTAAATTAGAGGGTGGAAATTGGAGATAGGGATAAAAATGCACCCCTTATAGTTTCTAAATTAGCAAAAGAAGCAAAATTCAGGAACATTAATAGGAACATTTTTGTAAAAATTGCGAGTTCATATCGAAATAGTACATTTAAATTTTATTAAGGAAAAAAATTAATTTAAAAAAGCAATATACCCAATTTTTGTTTTATTTTACTTTTTTGTGTTTTCTGAGCAGAGATAGGTAATAGGCATTGCTTCGTATATAAAAAACAGTAGATTAAATTTCCTTTAAAATGGTTGGTTGAAAGTTTTTTTTTTATAAAAACGGACTTAGATATAGCCGCTTTTATATTGATACTGTTTTAGTTGTTATTTTTTACAACAAAATTTATTTTTATTAAAAAAAAAAAAAGGTTAATTTAATAAAAATTCAATATTTTTACGAATATGCAAGACTGTGATCGATTTATAAAGTCACAACTAGTTATTCTTAAAAATTGTTTTTTACGATCTAAAATATAATTGTCTTTTTTACAATAAAAATTACCATTATATAGGTAATAATTATTATTATTTTCGTTGTTCATTATTTTCATTGTTCATTATTTTCATTGTTCATTATTTTCATTGTTTTATATATCTTCAATAATGTTATCAAATTGAATATTGATTTCTTTGTCTTCTATGTCTTCAAGAACATCGTCTCCTGTAATCTCTCTCTCGCACATATTCGCAATTGAAATCCATGCATTGTTTGCAAAATATGGAACAAGTTATTCCTACAATCACAGCTTCCGTGGCAACCTGTAATACACCTGCAAGCTATTTTCTTGATCAACATGTGATTCATTTGTGCAAAACGCAATCAAACCATTTTTTTTCCAACCCCAGTCGAGAGGGTTTAAATGATTACCATTCCACTGCTGCATTTAAAAATATATGTTCTTAAACTATGGCGTTTGGTGATATCGCGTGTTGTCGGTAATTTTGATTTTGATAGTTTACAGAAAAGCTGGTCTCTATCTGTAACGTGTGGAGAGTGGGTTACCCCACGGCACTTAGGCCTCATTAGGCCCATTGTGCACCCTCCTAAGATGATAGGCACCTCCTAGCTCGTGAGCCAGCCTACAGATTTAATGTAGTTGACAACGTCGCCAAGAGGTGCTTCTCTTATATCGGCCGGTGTTAGCCGATACTCGCCGAACACAAATCTTCTAATAAATGAGAACGTCGAGCAATCGTAAAGGATATGCTCGATGGTCTCATCGTCTTGTTCGCACCCTCTGCAGAGTGCGGATTCTGACAACCACATGATATGGAGATGCTTCCGTACTTGGCAATGACCAGACAGAATGCCCGTGACTAGGCGCAGATTATATAGTCATAGTCAAGTATTTGTTTGCTGCAGTGTTGTCAGGATAACTTAAGAGCTCCCTGGCAACGCTGTAGTTTCTTGTTTCATCCCATCTTTCCTTGAATTTCACAAGGGAATGTTCTTTAATTAGGTCTGTCACTACCGATTTTGTCAGGCCAATAGAAGGGCCAGTTCCAAAAAGTATTTGGTTGGCTGTTTTCTTGGCTAGTGAATCAGCAAGACGGTTACCTTTCGATGTGGCGTGACCTTTGATCCATCTTAAGGTGACCACATTGTTGATGGATACTTCGGCCAAAGCTTCGTGACATTCTAGTACTAACCCTGAATAAATTCGTGGCCTGTTCAGGGTGAGTAGTGCTTGTCTGCTATCTGTATAGATGAACATGTTCCTTCCAGTGATATTATTTCTGATTATTCCTTTGCTGCTATGAGAATCCCCGTTAGCTCTGTTTGAACTACACTGGCTTAAATTCTTATTTAGCTTTGAAAACCCATAAAGACTAGATAAAAAGTATGCTGATGCAGATTCTATTTTTTTTTTTTCAGTTGCATTGTCGCGTAAAAACGTGTCCATATTAGATTTTAATTGTAAAATATTTTTATTTATAAATCGATCACAGTTTTATTACATTAATAAAAATATTCAATTTTATTAACAAAGTAACATAAAATTCCTTTTTTATTGAATAAAAATCAATTTTGATGGAAAAATATTGGATTTTTGCATTTTTTTTTATATTTTCTTTTTGAATATTTGTTACATACATTTTTTTAATGTTTTAACTAAACAATTTAGATGGGAAATCGCATTCTCTACAAAAAAATTCATATTAACTATACCTGAATTTTGCTTCGATTTCAAGATATAATTAAAAAACTATAAGGGCTGCATTTTTACCCCCATTTCCAATTTACACCCTCTAATTCAATAGCACTCAGCGGTTGTTTCATCTTTAATGACCATTTGATGACCGCGAAAGTGATAGTTCCTTATTGTCCCCTTTTATAGGACATAATCAATAGCCTATATAATTTCTATTTTTTATAAAGATAAACATTTAATACGTATACTAATCTAAAAAAGTAAAATATCCACATCCTGTTGATAAAAATGTCAAACTTACCTCCCTCCCTCTGTCTAGCGCTGACCGTCTTCATCTTATTATTAACCAAATAATGCGCAGACTCAAGAAATAATTCCTCCTTGGCCAGATTGTCCAAACTACCTCCGTGCATCATGTTTTCCGATATGGAAGACGGTTTGCGGTGTCTTCCGTGATGTCTTCCGCCTCCGTGGTGGCCGCCCCCACCACCATCCGTGGCACTTCCGTGCCGACCGCGATGCCGGCGGGCAGCCGAGGTGTTATAGTGACGGGCGACTTCAGATCCGCCGGCGCTGGTGGCACGTGCGATACGCTCAGTTTCTTCAGCTTGATTCAAGAGATCCTGGAAAAAATAATACCAGAGGTATTAAGTAATCCAAACAAACGGTTGCCAGATGAAGGTAACACCCCAATTTTATATTGAGTTCTGTGATTGAGTTGATACGTGTTTGATTGCAATATACATCAATCACGAAGTGTTATTTAATTACAAATATTTAAAAATACTATGTTCGTCTATTTATTAACGAATATTTAATCTGTTAATGATTTCAAGAAACATAACCTCATTTAGTTGAATTTGCTAATAACAGTAACGATTCACAGTGATTAAAAAATCACGATATTTTCTGTATTAATTTATATTGACAATTTAACTTTACAGAACAAAATCTTGCCACAGCAACACAGCCATTTATATAAAAAAGGTGAAGGCTCTCGATGGTTCCACTAAATTTCTTCATCCAAAGTTGCAATTCCTAATTATTCATCGAACATTCTACTGTGTTCCAGACTTTTGATCAGCGTTCGCCATAGGCGTCCCACTTACCATGACCGTAACATTAAGTTGAGTTTCGGAGGTTGACTTATTTTTTTTAAATGTTTTTGGTAATTGTAAGAAATATGATGGGGGTTGCTCTGTAATATATGTCCTACATACTTAAGACTTTATTTATGCGATATTTCGACGGAACCCTAGTATGATGGCTTGTTGATGTTACGAATATGTGCCTAAGATAATAAAACCGAAAGCATTCAGTATTAAGTATTGATTGGTATATGAACCAAAACGAAACGTTCTGTTAAATATTATATTTCGATTTTTAAAGATGGTTCGCAAGACATCTTTAAATATTTAAAAATCCGTAAATACTTCAAGATACTTGATGAATTAGGCTATTGTCCCAATATTCTGGTGTTGCAGACAACCTGTGACTCAATCGGAATATTTACTTACCATCGATTAGAACTGGAATAACCTGTGTAATAATGGCTTTTTTTTTCTCCACAAATAACATTAATGTGATCAGTTCATAAAAGACAGTAATCTAATTGACAATATTCTATTTAGACCAGAGAATAACCATGTAGTTTTTTTTTAACTCTGCAAATCGTTCTGACTATTAACTTCTCGAGTTACTTCATATTATGCATATTAGTTATGAATAACGAATGTGTAAGTGTAACGTAACCGCTAGAACAATGTATATGTATATCATATATACCGGAATAGGGTTAAATTTAAACATAACGGCATTAGGTCCGAAAAATCTTGAGAAAGGAATTTCCACTTTTTCATCTTGAAGTTTGACTGATTTTACCAGAAAAAGGCAAAATTTATTGGAGGAGAGCGAACAAGTAGATTATCGTGATTTTCTTCAGTCATAATATAAAACAAGACCTTAATAAATAGTCGACTATTTTTAGTCTATCTAAATTTTGAGTGTTTTTGATATCAATTTGTCGAGACATAATTTTGTCATTAATAATCTGAGCTAACGCTCTCGGGCTTTATTTTTTTATTATTAATGATAAAATTATGTCGAGACAAATTGCAAAATGTACGAAAAATTTAGTAACAATAAAAATAGACGATAATTTATAAAGGTCGAGTTATATTTTATAAGATTATTTCTAGAGTCCTAAATGTAACTTGAATTAATAAATAAACAATAAAATAACTTTTTGAAATAACATTTATTTTCGGTTCATTTTGAAAAGTTCCACGAGATATTAGCTAGTACTCTGACAATAAATATATTTGACAGTAGCCGTTATTAAATATTGTAACGATAGTTTAATTTATTTAGAGTTTATTTATTTAAAACACGTTATTTACAATTTATTTATAACGTACTAATTAATTAATATAATACTTACGCACTAACTCACAATACATTTATTTATTACAATGTGCCTTTACTGTCCAACACTTAAATTCAATCTTATCTTCTATCGACAAAATCGCGGCTATTTATATAAAAATGTAACGCTCTCGAAAGAACCAACTCTGCGTAAATTATGTAGGGCTAGTACTCTAATATTCCATAGTATAGATTTTCTAGTATTTTAATATTTCTACATGCTTACAGACAGGACTTTAGGAACTACTCTATTAATTAGATCCCAGCAGTGAATAGCCAGTGTAGAGAGTCAACCCATCTCGACCTTTTCAAATCTATTGTGGATATCCTTTAAAGGTTGTTTAGAGTACCTTGTCTAGCTGGGTCCTCTGTAGTAGATATACTCTATAGACTTTGAAGTAATGCTCCGGTGTAGCTAGTTGCCCTTGGTTTTTTCTCTCCCCGTGTAAGGAATCTTAGTCTTGGTAAACCTTCGCAGTACCACAATACGAGTACTGAATATCCTGGGTTTCTTCTGCCAGGCCGCGGCTGGTGTTATACATAATATGTTTGTTAAACATACAATGTCCTGTTAATAGGCCTATTAGAACTCTAGTATTTTTCCTATTATGTCTTAGTAGATGCTTGTTAAGTTGTGGCGATGGTCCTTTTAAGAACTTTTTGGCCTGTCTCTGCCCTGGTGAATTTTTCCAAGCTTCCTAAAGTTTTTTAACATCCACTGCTTTGTGTATGTTCTGATAGCCGTCTTTGTGACACCACAGAAGGGTTCCGGGCCAATAAGAGCCTTTGATGCTCCTTCTTGAGCTAGTAAATCAGCCTCTACGTTGCCCTGATGTCCTCTGTGGCCTGGTACCTAGGCTAGGGTTAGTCTGTTAAGGCTTCCAAACAGCTCCATACAAGCTTTGAGTGTATCTGTATGGAACTGAGTGCTTTTAATGTCGGTTGTTTGATTTTCTAAGTATATGACAATAGTTTTTCCATTTACCCTAATATCTTAATATCTCTTTTGCGCAGTTATGTACTGCTGATATTTTTGCCTAGAATACTATCGCATGTTCAAACATGTTTAGATTTGTACTTACAATTGCATTGGATTATTTTCATTTTAATAAAATGCACTAAATGCTGTACTTTTGCTACAACGTAGTACATAATTTTTTCAGTAAAATATCAGTAATTCACTTACATTACTTACCACTGTACAGCGGCAGTCCTAGCTAAAACGTAGTATAGAATATAAATAATGTAGGTATTTACGCTGCGGCAATTCGTAGGAGTCCGAAAAAAAAACATTTTTCGTCCGTGTTTCATACATTGTTTAGATTTTATTTCCAATAATTTTTCCTTAACTGAGTTGGCTATGAGAACAATTGAACAATTTCTGTCGTGTCACTGTGCTCATGTCAAATTAATTTAATTACCTAGTTTATTTAAAATTGGTGTCAAAATAAATTACAAAAATGAGTAGTGACGAAGAATTCATTACTGGCACGCCCCCAGAAATTAGAGGCGCGGCAAATTATATTTAAAAAATGGTACACAGAGCAAAAAGCAAAAATTATCGAATGTTACTTCTGTACAGGTGTGAAGTATTGGAGTTGATTTTTTTGAAGAACATTCCGAATTAGTGGTTGACTATACTGTTATGCAAAGAAGCTGCAATGTTTTAATGATCTCTTTCCAGTGGATAATGCAAAACGAGTGGAACTTTGTCAATAGTTCCAAAACAATCCGAACCATGAAGTTTTTTTTATCGGATGAGGCTCGGTTTTATCTTTCTGGATAATATGTTAATTCACGGAATATGAGGTAGAGGTCAGCTAAAAATCCTCATGTTTTTGTTGTTGAAGAACCATTATATACCCAAAAAGTGTTTGGGTTGGAATATGTCAAAGAAGATTGGCGTGTCCCATTTTTTTTGTAAGCGCATGATATCGCATAGATATACACGGCCCATTCCCTTTTTAGTCAAGGCTCATGGTTTGTAAGAAGTTTCATCTCGAGAGGGGGGATATCATGGCCCCATATAAGCCCTGGAACCGCCCTTGGCAACTCCAACTATGATTTTTCACGTAACATGAAAGTATTTCAGATTTTAATACGTAAACTTAGGCATCGCAACCTAATTTGTCTAAAGAGGGGATGCGCGTTAATCTCGAATTTCAATTGTCAACGCCTACTGTAACTGTTAAAGAGAGATGCAAACAATAGCCGTGTTGTCGGGGGTGATCAGTAGATCATAATTTTCTTGAATTTGTGTTTGTGTAGCGTGCAGATTTTGAGTTATATTTTATTTTTATTTGTTTGTAGTGTTTTCTTTTGAGTAGTGACTTACTTGTGTTAAAATGCCGAAACATTTAGGTAGTCAAGCAAAGGAAATAATATTTCATTCATCTATTCCAATATTTTATGAAAAAAAATGTTCCTCAGCAACAAATAGTTTTGGGAGAAAAAAAAAAACAACGATAATAGTGAAACTTATAGACAATGTGTTGTGAACGATGATCCCAAAACTCTCACTGAAATTAAAGAACAAGTTGCTGAAGCTACAGGATATTCGGTAAAAACAATTGAACGAATAATTATAGAAGGTGAGATATCAAAAGGTAAAAAATCTATGTCTACCATACCTAAACAATTGTTTAAAAGTCCAAAAAAGCGCAAAAGAACATCAAGTGTAACATATATTCCATCCTAAAATATTGGAACAATCAGAGATATAGTTTATAGATTTCACTAAACAAAAGGTATGCGCGTAACAGTCAAAACTCTTAGTGAAAAATTAAAAAAGGAAATTTAGTGGAAAGGGAGCTAGCTACACATCATTAAGAACTATTTAAAAAAAAAATTGGGTTCAAGTAGCGAAAAACGCGAAACAACAGACAGGTTCTAATAGAACGGCTTGACATCAGGGAAAAAAGAACAGATTATATTAAAAAAATTAGATATTTTCGTTCTCAAAACCGTCCCATTGTATATATTGATAACACTTATATACATAGTAGCCATACATCATCACATAATTGGGGTGATGATAATGCAAAAAGTTTGTTTTCCACCATTTCGAAAGGAAAGAGACTTATTATAGTTTATGCTGGTGGTAATATGGGCTTTATTCCTAACAGTTTATTAATGTTTGTGTCTGGGGCCAAATCTGGTGATTATCATAATGATATTAATCAAGAAAATTATGAAAAGTGGCTAAGAGAACTATTAATACCAAATTTACCACCAAATGCTATTGTAGTTGTGGATAATGCACCGTATCACAATGTTATAGAAAATCCTGCTCCGAATTCAAATTCAAGAAAAGCTGAAATGATAAACTGGTAGATGTTCAACAATATTGAATTTTAACCTTCCTTAATACGACCAACACACTAATCAAACAGCATAAAAATAGATTCAAGCAATACGGTCATACAGTTTTGAGATTACCACCATACCACCCAGACTTAAATCCAATAGAAATGATCTGGGCTGTAATAAAAAATAATGTAGCTATAAAGAATATTCATTTTAAATTAGCACATGTACAAATGTTAGCTGAAATTGAATTTACATCAATAACCCAAGAAGACTGAAAAAAAGAAGTGCACATGTAATAGCTGTCGAAGATGAATATTTAGTTCGCGAAATTATAATGTTGGTAATCTGGTATTTCCTATAATACCTTCAAATGATAGCCATTCTTAGAAAGGATTAAAATTTTAGGTAATTTTCTTAAAATTTTGTGATTAATCTGACCGTGATCGTTTTAAAAATCCTAGAAAATTTATTTTAAGCGAAAGTAGTATACGCTACTGAGCTTTAATAGTAGCCAGTAAGATCGTTTGAAGGTGTGTCAGCAGTGCGCAAACTTTACCCCATTAATGACAAATTAGGATGCGATGCCTGTACTTTACTTTTAGATTTAATATTAAGTAAATACATTTCATCTCCAAATTCTGTAAGTATATTTAAATAATCAAATATTCTTGCTATTTGATTTACCTAGATTTTTGGGTAATTATTGCATATTAATAATTTCCTTAATCCACTTGTAATATATCTAATTTGATAAAATTAATTTATCAACTACTCGACTGTGATCAATTATAAATAGAGGAAAATACAAATATTTCAATATTCTCAAAAACTGCCAACGCAAGAAACCAAAAGGTCTGCAGGCAATTAGCTTCTCGGAAATAATTATTAAGATCAAAATTTTTATTTTGTCTACAAAATGTAAAAGTACATTCTCTAAGAATAGACGGTATTAAAAAATAATCTGGTTATTGGTTATGAACATAAAACTTACCTTGAAAAGTTTACTTTTTCCTTCTCTATCTTTCGGATTTTTATAGTTGATAGCCTCATCCAGAAGTGCTTTTAACTCCCCGTCATTCAAGTTCGATAAAGTCTGAAACAATAAAGGATAGTTTATTTTTTGGTGGTAGGTTTTGAAAGATGCCATACAACGGGAGCATTGATTTACTTAGATAAAGTAACTAAACTAGATAACATAAGCAAAAAATAATCCAAAGTGTCTTTATATGTTTTGAAAAACATGTGCCATCACAGAGTTGGGTAGTATCCGGATACTTTACATGTACCTATCCGAAAGCTATATTTTTTTCAATTTTGTATCTGGTATAAGTATCCAAATTTGTAAGTATTCTGATACCGAAAAAATTATACGGATATATTGTAGATTATATTAAATTAGGAATTAGACGTTGTTTGTCCTTGTCCACCGCGACCTTTTCAGATATATTGTGGGACTCCGTTTGTTTTAGAGTATGTCGTCCAGCTTGGTCTTTTTTATTAGACTTAGTAGCGTTGACAGTGGTTCCCGCATGTAGTTGCATGCTTTTGGCTTTTCTTCGCCCAATGTTAGAAACCTCATTCCAGCCAGACCTTCACATTGGCACAGGACGTGGAATGATGTTTCCTCTTCTTCTTCACAGAACCGGCACAAAGTTGCTTCTTCTGCTGGATTGATGACACTCATGTGCCTTTTAAGGCGACAGTGTCCAGTAAGAAGACCTACTGTTATTTTAATGATTTGACGCTTGGCCGATGGTTTCTTGATGAACTGTTAGGCCTGTCTCAGTCTTGGATAGTTCCACCATTCCTGAGACTCTTTTTGCATCCATTGTTTGATGGATGCCTTACACAATGCCTTAGCAAATCCACAGACGGGTTCGGGACCTGGCATGGCCTTAGCTGAGCCTTCTCGGGCTAATTCGTCGGCCTTTTGGTTGCGCTGGCCTCATGGCCTGGCACCCAGGCTAGGGTCACCTTGTTTTGACTACTTAGCTCTGCCAGGTCTTCTAGACAGTCTTTCACCAGTCGTGATTTGATTTCTGGTGAGAGAATTGCCTTTAGAGCTGCTTGGCTATCAGAGTATATGACAATTTTGGTAAAAAGCGTGCCAATTCGGTAAAAAGCGGGACATTTTAGTACTTTGGCGGGACCCGTGCCAGCAAGTGAAAAAGCGGAACAATAACGCCTAAAGCGGGACGTCTGGAAACCCTAACGATGGCTCCTGTTTTTTAAAACACCCTGTAGGCTAAATATCTAGTTTTTAACTGTTGTTACAATATATTTCTAAACTAAATTGATATCATTTCAGTTAAATAATCATTCAGTAATCAATTCTGAATTCTGTAAAATATAAAGTCTTAATTAAATTGTATTTCTATTATTAGAGAGTTATTGCAAGTTCACTTAAGGTCAGTCACTATTAGTGCCGCTCTTATTTTGACATCTGAACATGTGCAGATCACTTACATTCTAGAATTGACTTTATTAGAGATTGTGCCTGTTCTTAATGGTGGATGTTTAAGGACAGCGGTTAGTGGCGACTTTATAGTTTACGGGCGCGCTCCCCAAAATTCGTATCATTTCGAGGTTTTTTAATATTAAATATTTAATATCATCGTCATCTAAACCTTCTAAAATGGTAATTTCTAATGCCTCTTTCATATTATGTACTATTATAAACAACAAAAAAGATATGAACTGTAATTCAAAATTTTTAAAATGAGATTAGAAATATGTATAAGGACAAGGACTCTAATGTCAAAATTTCAGGTTTGTAATAAGTCTTATTTTATGTAGCATGGAATTTATTTGCCTTTAATTACGTTGTCACTATTAGTGGCTGACGTTATAGAAATTTGCAATAACTCTCTATTGTCAAGATTATTGCATTCATCTGACAGTCAGGGACGCGCTTTCTTCACGTTTTCTTCACGCCGCACAGAGGGGCAGGATCCATTAAAATCCTGTATTAATTCAAAAATTAAAGTGCTATGAATACATTCGCTTCATTGCAGTATTGTTAACAACACTCCTGTGCATAAGACATCAAATGTCTCGGGGCTGTAACGTCCCCCCGCTCCTCACATTTAGTCCCAAAAAAACAAGTAACAGAAAGTCCACGTTTGTCGCCTATTAATCTGTTTGGTTACGCAAATATTAAAAATATTGTAAATGTGGTAAATCATCTTTTTTGTATTTTTATTTAAAATACAAACGTCAGCGGCAGATAAATGATAAATTTTCATAATTATTACTTAGTAAATTTGTAATTACGGTGAATAAAAACACTTAGAAATCACAACTGTAATATTTCATAAAAATATTGTGTTTCGCATAGATATGTAAAGTTTTAATTGGGTATCGAGACATATCGAGTAGTTTTGTTTATATGATTAAAATGTACTGGTATCGTGTAACTGGGGCACATTTAAATTTCTTGCGATTTTTGGCGATTTTTCTTAAAAAAAGATATTTCATCGATTATTTTTTTCGTATAACTTTTAACCAATTAGAACGTTCAATTTAGTTAAGTTACCTCGTATAATTTCGATAATACCTGATTATACATAGAGTAGCTCCACCAATCAAAAATATTTACAATAATTTCATTTCCGTAGTAACCACATCGACAACAATACACTAACTAACAGGACCGTCAAATTTTGACGTTTATCAATAATTAATAATTGTAATTTTCATTGTACCAATATGTATTTAAATTAATAAATTGTTGATATTTACTTAATTTACTCAAAAAAATAATCGTATCAAATACAATACGTACTTCAAAATAAATACGGTTATACATCTCAAACTTCCTGCATAATTACAAATCGTGTCAGTTTGACAGAATAATCCTCCCGCTTCGCGGTCGGATTATTTAAACTGTCAAACTGACACTCTTTATAATTATGCAACAAGTTATCGATGTATAACCTGATTATTTTGAAGTACTTATAGTATTACTACTGATAATCATCTCTTTTAACCAAAATCACCAAAAAGTGCAAAATATGAAAACATGCCGCAGAAGTACAATAACAAAATATTTTATTCATATGCACAAAATAACCCGATATGCCTTGATACAAGCTGTACACCTACATGTTTCTGAGAAACACATTTTTATAAACTATGACAAAATTATGTTATTTTAGTAATGTTGATTTTAATTACTTATGCCTTCTTTATTTCAGAAGCTAGTTATAGCACTGTAGCAATATCAAGAAGGAACTATACGACATCTTAACAAATACCAATTCAAGTTATTAACAAATCATCAAGCCAGCATTTAAGTTTAGATGGTTGAATGTAGGAAGATCTAGAAATAAGTTTCTCAATTAATAGGATAATTAACTCGATACGTTAAGATCTTTCACGCGGCTTCAGGCAGTCTAACTCAACTATGAGAGGACGTCCAACAGTTTTTTTTGAAGAGAGCAACGAGCAAAGTAAGCGCAAATAAACAGAAGACCTGCGGAAATATACGTCTATTGCGGAGCTAAGTTTCACCACACAGATGAGTTTAAGAGCAGCAGGAAATACAGAGGCTTCCAAATTATTAAAAGAAATAACTACAACATTTCCAAAACGGGCGAGCAAATATAGAAAATCCTACAAAACTGTACTTGAAAAATAGCCACGTAAGATGTCTGGTGAAGATGCCCTGGCTTTACTAGTAGAAGCAAAGTTGTTTAGGCACCAATGTAGAAGAGGGACAAGAGACGCGTAACAAAGACTTGAAAAATTACCAAAAATTAACAATATTCCAGGAAATGTTACCGGGAAAAATCAAATGTAGAATTTTTTAATTTGTTTTTATTGATTTGAGATCCTCTGTTGACAAGTAAAAGAAATGAACCTAAAAATAAATTGAAAAACATACCAAATGGTGCTTTAGATCTGTTAGTACCTCCCACAGTCACAGAGTTTCAAAGTAATGAACATGATGACTCATTCTTTCCTTATTCTAATGAAAGCCAATAATTAAAATATATGTTGATTTAATAATTAAGAATTTGTAATAAAAATCTACCATGATTAACGTGATTAAGTTAAGATTAAATGCATAAAGCGTTCCATGTTTTATTTAAAAATATTGACATATAATGTATTTTATTCTTTTGACATACGATTCATGGCATTTAAAAATTAATACCAACTTTTGAGGCATTCTGCCCCAGTGTGCGCCGTCTTGCAAAATACTAATTAATGAGCGCTTTTATGTACGTATATGGGCCAAAATAACTTGTTTTCACATCTTCAAATTATAACAAACTCATAGACTCGTTCGTACTTGAAGCAATCATAGAAAAACAATGATCTAACATTAATTTTGGATAAAAGTTTTTTGTGGTATTATTATCTATAATTTTTGTTAAACAGGGTGTCCGGAAAGTCAACGATAATACTAAAAGGGGTGATGGACAAACTCATAAGCTTCCAGAAAAACATAATATGACCTTAGTAAAAAATCGATGGTTTTCGAGATATTGCCACTTCAATAAAATTCGATAAAATCGTCCCCTCGGATCAGATTTTCGAGTGTCATTCCTAAAAAAATGTATAATTCTTAGATTCTAATTTAGGTTTTGCAACTGTGGATAGCCATTTCATTAAACAAAGACCAACATTGAACCAAAAGTTCAAAATATTCAATAAGAAATCTTATTTTACAGAGAAATAATTTATTTTTATTTTCCATCACTCAAGTTTAACACCTCATACTGTACAAAAAAATGTCTACACTAACCTGGCTAGTGATTTGAAAAGTTTGCTCATTTAATGTACTTTTATAAACGACCCATTGTTCTAATAAACAGTTTACTGTTATTGACTTACAGTAAAGGATATTCCTAATTTACCATATGAGAACATTAATAACATTAATTAAATCATGTTAAAATAAAGTTTTATTTTTCTTACCAAAAATTAAACAAAAATCAACAGCCTAGACTAGGAGGCCATGAAACAAGTGTTATCGCCATAGCAACAACCAAAAAACATTTTTGTTATTTTGTTATTGTACTGTCAATAACTTTTGCTTGTAAGTATCTGGACTTGTGTGTTACCTTTTGATTTGGATTTGCCATA